CCCTTGCCAGGGCAGCGCTTCCGCTTCCCGCGGCCGCGGCGCGGGGCTCCCTGCGCGGCCGGCGGATGGCGAGCTACAGCAGGGCGGCCCAGGTGAGCTCGGCCTCCCCCGCGGAACCCCTCGGCCTCGCTGCCTCGGGACAGGGCCCCGGGGCCGCGGGCGGGTACGGAGGATCCCCAGGCCCCCAGGGGAGCGCCCCGGGGCTGTCCCCGGTGTCCGCCCTGAGGGTGCCGGTGGCAGGAACCGCTGTGTGCGACGCGTCTGGGCTACAGGGACTCCCGCGGCTCGGGCTGAATGCTCCGTGTGGGGGAGCTGTGCCCTTCGCCGGGAGGGAGGGGGACCTTGGGCGTTAAGTATTTCGCAGCGGTGTTAAATATCTTGTAGCGAAAATGGAAGCTTGCAGCAGGAGATCTGCATTTTTGAAGCAAAGCCCTCAGGGCCGGTAACCGATCAGTGGTGTTACACGAGTACATCGCACTGCAGTATCGCAGTGCTCCGTCCATTGAAAGGTTATTTGAAGGGGATGGTGCTGCACATCAATATTTCGTCCAGTATTTTTGGATGTAAAAGAGGTGTTGGTTCAATTGATGAGGAAGATAGATTACGGTAGTGTGAGCTTTTCCTATAAGAAGTACTGAACCTCTTTCTTTTCAGCAATGGGCTACTTTTGCCAGAGCCTGGTACCTCCTCGATGCGAAGATGCAGCCCCCAGGAAAAATAGCAGCTGCCACTGTAATCAGACTCGAAGGCAGACATAAACCTATTTATCATGCACTAAGTGAGTATTACAGTGGATGAAAGCAAATTTGCTTTTCTTCACATTCATGTTTCTTCCAATTTCAGTTTTAAAATCAAGCCTGATATAAAAGATTACATTTCTCAATTGTTTATAAATAATAAATTAATTGAGCTTTTTTCTCATCTTTTTCCATCATACTGCTCCACTATCGAATGTTTTTTCTTTATCAGTACACATAAAGGATGTTATGAATTTGTAATTCATTTTGAGTAACTGAATTACAGTGGGTTGTTCTTTCATTTTTTTAAAAACCTCAGAATATGTTTTGTAGATTTTAAATGTAAAGATTTAGTTCACAGTGCACATAAAGAAACATCCGAGTGCTTCCTTCCAGTAGATGCCCAGGACCACATTCTTGGGGTGCTTCATTCTGAATAAGGTGCGAAGAAGTCCTGTTTTCATGAGGCAGAGGGCACAAACTGAAACACAGGATACTCTGAACATCAGATAAGATGTTTTGTACCGTAAGAGTAGTGGGAAATCGTTGCCCAAGAGGTTGCAAAGTCTCCATCTGTGGAGGTTTTCAGAAGCTGGTCCTGCTTTGAGCACAGGCTTTAGAGGACATGACCTTCAAAGGCCCCTTCCTGTCTCAACATTCTGTGATGAGGAGGCTGGGACCTGTCTGATACCTAAATGGGTGACAATCGTTGAAAGGTACCTTGTTTAAATAAAACAATCCTTTTGTTTTTCTGCAAATTAGAGATTCATCTATAAAGAT